CGACCTCAGATTGCAGTGTCTTGTTACAAGAAATGATTAAACTCCAGCCTACTCTCCACTTCTCTGAAGTCATGATGACTAAGATATAATGAGAAGTGGGAACTCATGTGACATCAATATTAGCAGACACACAGATACACAGACACACACACACACACAAGCAATCATCTTGCATCTTCACAGATATGGCTGCTCAAATATGATTTTTGTATAATAAAATTGTTATACTACCATCATGATGTACATGCATGACGTACATATATCGGATCGATGTAGGATCTTAATTTGAGCCAGTTATTTGTTATGTGGATTATAATAAATTGAAATTTTTGTGGGGATTGAGACATTTTTGGTAAGGGAAAATTAAGTCTGAAATTACAAACTACAGAAGCCTTTTTAGATCTCAAAGAAACTACAAGTTTTACATTTCCTGCATTGCAGGAAAGTTCTCCTGCAACAGGGTTGTCAAATTAAGATCCTACATCTGTACATCAGCAGCGAGGTTGTGTAAACCACGAGCTGCCTGCTCTCCATTTCTCTGAAGTCATGAATAAGAACCACTAGGAAGGAACACATTAACGCTGGGAATTGACAGGGATCTCACAAAAGGAACCCATTAGGGCTGGGAATTGCCAGGGATCTCACAATATAATATTATCACAATACTTAGGTGCTGATACGATATCTATTGCGATTCTCACGATTCTCACGATTATACAGTTGAAGTCGGAAGTTTACATACACCTTAGCCAAATACAGTTTTTCACAATTACTGACATTTAATCCTAGTAAAAATTCCCTGTCTTAGGTCAGTTAGGATCACCACTTTATCTTAAGAATGTGAAATGTCAGAATAATAGTAGAGAGAATGATTGATTTAAGCTTTTATTTCTTTCATCACATTCCCAGTGGGTCACTCAATTAGTATTTGCATTGCCTTTAAATTGTTTAACTTGGGTCAAATGTTTTGGGTAGCCTTCCACAAGCTTCCCACAATAAGTTGGGTGAAGTTTGGCCCATTCCTCCTGACAGAGCTGGTGTAACTGAGTCAGGTCAGTAGGCCTCCTTGCTCGCACATGCTTTTTCAGTTCTGCCCACACATTTTCTATAGGATTGAGGTCAGGGCTTTGTGATGGCCACTCCAATACCTTGACTTTGTTGTCCTTAAGCCATTTTGCCACAACTTTGGAAGTGTGCTTGGGGTCATTGTCCATTTGGAAGACCCATTTGCGACCAAGCTTTAACTTCCTGACTGATGTCTTGAGATGTTGCTTCAATATATCCACATAATTTTCCTTCCTCATGATGCCATCTATTTTGTGAAGTGCACCAGTCCCTCCTGCAGCAAAGCTCCCCCACAGCATGATGCTGCCACCCCCGTGCTTCACGGTTGGGATTGTGTTCTTCGGCTTGCAAGCATCTCCCTTTTTCCTCCAAACATAACAATGGTCATTATGGCCAACCAGTCCTATTTTTGTTTCATCAGACCAGAGGACACTTCTCCAAAAAGTATGATCTTTGTCCCCATGTGCAGTTGCAAACCGTAGTCTGGCTTTTTTATGGCGGTTTTGGAGCAGTGGCTTCTTCCTTGCTGAGCGGCCTTTCAGGTTATATCGATATGGGACTCGTTTTACTGTGGATATAGATACTTTTGTACCTGTTTCCTCCAGCATCTTCACAAGGTCCTTTGCTGTTGTTCTGAGATTGATTTGCACCAAAGTACAATCATCTCTAGGAGACAGAACGCGTCTCCTTCCTGAGCGGTATGACGGTGTCACACCCTGGCTCTGGGACTCTATATGTTGAGCCAGGGTGTGTTCATTCTATGTGTTCTGTTTCTTTGTTTGGGTGTTCTAGGTTGTCTGTTTCGATGTTTGCCTGTGTGACTCCCAATCAGAGGCAACGAGTGTCAGCTGTCGGCTGGTTGTCTCTGATTGGGAGCCATATGTCTGTATCTGTATGTTTTCCCTTGGGTGTTGTGGGTTTTTGTTCCGTGTCGGTATTGTTAACCGTGGACTTCACGAGTCGTGTTTTGTTTTGGTATACTTTACTAATTAAAGTAATGTTTGTTTCACACGCTGCGCCTTGGTCTACTCACTCCTACGACGATCGTGACAGAAAAACCCACCATACAACGACCAAGCAGCGTGTCCAGGAACACACGCAGGAGGTGACGCTGGTGGATGTCCTCCTCGGTTGGGGGCAGATTACCGAGGAGGAGGCCGTCCGGTACCGGAGGGCTATGAAGGGGGAGACCCAGGCAGGAGAGGAGCAGCGGCGTCAGCAGTGCCATCGTCGGAAGGACGAGAGGCACCCCCAATAATTTTTTAGGGGGGGGCACACCGCATGGGCGACTGGGCAGCAGGAGGCTGCCACAGGGCGTAATGGGAGACGAGGAGAGAAGGCCACCGGGTTACGGGAGCCATTGGCGAGAGGAGGGAAGGAAGTCGTAGAGGCACGGCGAGAGGTACTGAGGTGTATTGCCAGTCCGGTCCGGCCCGTTCCTGATCCCCGTTTAAAGCCAGTGGTGTGTGTTCCCAGTACGGTCCGGCCTGTCCCTGCTCCACGCACCAAGCCTACGGTGTGCGTCGACAGCCCAGCCCGGCCTGTCCCTGCTCCACGAACCAAGCCTACGGTGTGCGTCGCCAGCCCTGTCCGGCCTGTCCCTGCTCCACGCACCAAGCCTACGGTGTGCGTCGCCAGCCCTGCCCGGCCTGTTCCTGCTCCACGCACCAAGCCTATGGTGTGCGTCGACAGCCCAGCCCGGCCTGTCCCTGCTCCACGCACCAAGCCTACGGTGTGCGTCGCCAGCCCAGTCCGGCCTGTCCCTGCTCCACGCACCAAGCCTACGGTGTGCGTCGACAGCCCAGCCCGGCCTGTCCCTGCTCCACGCACCAAACCTACGGTGTGCGTCGCCAGCCCAGCCCGGCCTGTTCCTGCTCCACGCACCAAGCCTACGGTGTGCGTCGCCAGCCCTGCCCGGCCTGTTCCTGCTCCACGCACCAAGCCTACGGTGTGCGTCGCCAGCCCTGCCCGGCCTGTTCCTGCTCCACGCACCAAGCCTACGGTGTGCGTCGACAGCCCAGCCCGGCCTGTCCCTGCTCCACGCACCAAACCTACGGTGTGCGTCGCCAGCCCAGCCCGGCCTGTTCCTGCTCCACGCACCAAGCCTACGGTGTGCGTCGCCAGCCCTGCCCGGCCTGTCCCTGCTCCACGCACCAAGCCTACGGTGTGCGTCGCCAGCCCTGTCCGGCCTGTCCCTGCTCCACGCACCAAGTCGACGGTGCGCGTCGCCAGCCCGGTCCGGCCTGTTCCTGCCACTCGCACCAAGTCTACGGTGCGCGTCGCCAGCCCGGCCCGGCTCGTTCCTGCCACTCGCACCAAGCCAGGGCTGCGAGTCGTCAGTCCGGCACAACCCGTGCCTGGGTCATCGGTGCCAGATCAGGTACCGCTTTATTGCTCCCCAACGGAGCTGAAGCTAGCCGCTCCTGCTACGTCCAGGTCAGCTCCAGCCAGCGGAGCCAGACTGGACCAGGGGCGCTATGGGGGGTTCATTGGAGGGTGGTGGTCAAGGCCGGAGGCAGAACCGCCGCCGAGGAGGTATGCCCGCCCAGCCCTCCCCTGTTTTGCTTTAGTTGAGGCACTGTCACACCCTGGCTCTGGGACTCTATATGTTGAGCCAGGGTGTGTTCATTCTATGTGTTCTGTTTCTTTGTTTGGGTGTTCTAGGTTGTCTGTTTCGATGTTTGCCTGTGTGACTCCCAATCAGAGGCAACGAGTGTCAGCTGTCGGCTGGTTGTCTCTGATTGGGAGCCATATTTAATCTGTATGTTTTCCCTTGGGTGTTGTGGGTTTTTGTTCCGTGTCGGTATTGTTAACCGTGGACTTCACGAGTCGTGTTTTGTTTAGAAACTTTAATTAAATAAAGTCATGTTTGTTTCACACGCTGCGCCTTGGTCTACTCACTACTACGACGATCGTGACAGACGGCTGCCTGTTCCCATGGTGTTTATACTTGCGTACTACTGTTTGTACAGATGAACGTGGTACCTTCAGGCATTTGGAAATTACTCCCAAGGATGAACCAGACTTGTGGACGTCTACAAAATAAATTCTGAGGTCTTGGCTGATTTCTTTTGATTTTCCCATAATGTCAAGCAAAGAGGCACTGAGTTTGAAGGTAGGCCTTGAAATACATCCACAGGTACACCTCCAATTGACTCAAATGATGTCAATTAACCCAACAGAAGCTTCTAAAGCCATGACATCATTTTCTGGAATTTTCCAAGCTGTTTAAAGGCACAGTCAACTTAGTGTATGTAAACTTCTGACCCACTGGAATTGTGATACAGCTAATTATAAGTGAAATAATCTGTCTGTAAACAATTGTTGGAAAAATTACTAGTGTCATGCACAAAGTAGATGTCCTAACCGACTTGCCAAAACTATAGTTTGTTAACAAGACATTTGTGGAGTGGTTGAAAAACTAGTTTTAATGACTCCAACCTAAGTGTATGTAAACTTCCGACTTCAACTGTATATGTATTTCGATTCGATACTGTGATTTTATTGCTCACCGTATGTCTGCTGCAGAGGGAGAAGAGAGAGCCATGATAAAACAAGTTTTGATCAGTCATGGAAATAAAAGTGCTGAAAACAAATTGCCTCCTTTTTTTAAAAGAAGATGGAGAACAAGCTATGAAGGAAAAATACTACAGTTTTGGTGCAGGTACAGCAAAATAGCGCAAAAATTATATTGAGATAGTCAAAATTATACGATATATCGTCAAATATAATATCCCGATATATAACTGTATCAATTTTTTCCCCCATCACTAGAACCCATGTGACAACATAAGCAGACACACACACAAACACACACACTTACCACGAGCTGTCCCTGGTCAGTCCCTCTCAGACTACCTCTCAGTGTAGGTCTGTCCTTGTCCTATATGTTCCCGGCCCCCACGGCAGTGAGGCTGGCCCCTGTCCCCTCACACCATGCTGGAGCTCGGTCTGCTTTTCTCCAGGTAGTGGGGTGTCTTCAGGGCACTGGGAGGCAGGGCAGGGTGGTTAGGGTGGGTAGGGTAGGGTGGCTGGGCCAGGTGGGGCAGGACCGGCAGGGCTGGGTGGACCGGTTAGGGTGGTTGAGCCGGACCCTTATTGAGCCTCTCCACCCGTCCGTTTGGGTGGGGGTACAGCGGTGGTTTCTGGCTCCTAAGAGACGGGACACTGTATCCAACCATGGCTGTGGGGTTAGGGGTGTGAGTCCGTAAGGGTAGAGGTAGGGAGGGTGTGCGTTCTAGCCAAGGGGTCTGGGTCACATGGTTTATGTCTCTGGAAGGACAAGGGCCAGGTATAGGAGGGTCTCCGTTGAGCCCCCGTCTTTCCTGTTTGGGTTCTTTGGAAGGGCTCGGGCTCAGGGGGCTCAGAGCTATGACCCCGACCCGGTTGGTTTTGATAACTGATGCGGTGAGGACATGGGACGGAGAGGTAGTTTGTATGGTCACAGTATGGTCAGGGTCTCTGTACAGTAATCCCTGGTCTCCATTAGTCTTCAGGTCACCAGTACTAGTCGTGTGGGTGTACACCTGCTCTCCAGTACTAGTCTTCTGATTGTACATCAGGACTCCACTGCAGTCTCTGGGGTTGGGGAGGGCGTCACCACCATGAGGGAAACTGTTACATGATCCCTCTTCCCCTCCCAGGTCAACGTTAGCTGTCAGCAGATCAATCTGTTGGACCACCTAAATGACAATACATAGTCAATATACTACATTACTAAAATACTGTATACTAATATATTATACTACATTAATTACCACAACATTATACACAGGGGGCCAGTATGAAAATGTATGCACTCACTAACTGTAAGTTGCTCTGGATAAGAGCGTCTGCTAAATGACTAAAATGTAAATGTAAAATGTAAATTATGATATGACATGTTGGTTGATTGTCGCTTAAGAGCTAAGAGTCATGAGATATAGATTTTGTTTTACAACGAAAGGCTTTCAAATGATTTTTTACAAGGTACAGTATATTATAGCCCTATTGCATATGGACACCATAAAAGCAAACCGTAATTCAGAACACATCTCAAGACAGGCTCTTTAAAGTGCTGCTTGTGTCTCTGCCAATTCCAGCAGCTGGTTTTAGCCAAAAGGTTCATGTGAATAGCTTTCAATCAATGCAATTACAAGAAATGATGCGAATTACAAACAATGCTATCTTGTTCCATATCAGCCTGCAATGTAATTTTATTTACAGAGCTGAATGCAAATGTAATTTAAATGTCATGTACCGTTACATAAACAGAAAGAGAGGATATCCATTGATATGTGTTTGCTTTATCTCTGATGTCAATGTAAGGATAGACCCTACTGAAATGTATACATGGACTTAAGGTTTACATAGCCTCGTCCTCTGATCTCTGTGTACATTTCAGCCAACTCCTCTGACTATATGCTATGTCTATTTTACTCATACCTTTCATTCATTACAATTCATAATAAACACACTCAAAAAATATCCATAAAAAATGGTTTCTGGATCCTCCCTTACAGATAAATCACATGATTTCACATATACAATCCATGTCTCAATTGTAACAAGGCTTGAAAATCCTTCTTTAAACTGTCTCCTCCCCTTGATTTACACTGATTTAAGTGGATTTAATAAGTGAATAAGGGATCATAGCGTTCACCTGGATTCACCTGGTCAGTCTATGTCATGGAAAGAGCAGGTGTTCTTAATGTTTTGTATACTCAGTGTAAGATCACATGTGTTTTTGGAACACTTCACATGTGATCACATGTGAAATTCATGTGGCTTTCCATAAGGGCTTGTAAGTACATTCCATGGAAAATGAGATGGACAGAACTCAAAATGATTAGCCTTAATAATTTAAATATGATGCTGATTATGGCCAGCTGATCAGTAACAAAATAAAGAATCAACCTATCAGAGACCTTAAACGGTAGAGCCACCATCCAATCACATTTGTTCAACAGGTCAATTTAGACACCAGAGGTAGATTGTTGGTTTAACAATCTGCCCTGGTGGCTAACTGTTTGGTTTAATGTGTTACCCATGGTCTAAGTGGAGTGTGACAATATGCTTCCACACAAAATTCAAAAGGGGTTTTGAATTTTAACAAACATCCATGTAATTTGACTGAAAAAAGTAGGAGGATTATATAACATGTAACTTTGTATTCAGACATTGTAAAAGTCAAAGGTGATGACTCTCGTGGTGTCATCACAGTAATTTACCCACTACTGCTAGCCCAGAGTGGTGGTGTGATCACTAAAGGGATCTACTCTGTGGTATTGGCATATGGTGGCTGTGAGTTCGAATCCCATTTGGTTACGCAGTGGCGCAGTGGTCTAAGGCACTGCATCGCAGTGCTAACTGTGCCACTAGAGATCCTGGTTCGAATCCAGGCTCTGTCGCAGCCGGCCGCGACCGGGAGACTCATGGGCGGCGCACAATTGGCCCAGTGTCGTCCAGGGTAGGGGAGGGAAGGGCCGGCAGGGATGTAGCTCAGTTGATAGAGCATGGCGTTTGCAACGCCAGGGTTGTGGGTTTGATTCCCATGGGGGGCCAGTATAAAAAAATATATGTATTCACTAACTGTAAGTCGCTCTGGATAAGAGCGTCTGCTAAAATGACTAAAATGTAAATGTAAGGAGAAACCCTCCACTGCTGGTCCTCGAGTAAAATAGTGCAAACGTGACGAAGTAACCGATTATCAAAATGCATATAAAACCTTGTACAATTAAGTGTATACGTCTTTGTAATTTCACCTATATTCATTGTAGTGATTAATATTTCTGTATTAGGCTTATCAACATTGGACAAAAATGGTGTTGATATATGCTAACCCAGCTAATAACTCGTCCAGGACAATGACGATAGCTCTATTGTTGATCTGAATGTCTATAAAGGCTAGGCCAGTCAATCAATAGCATGTGTTACAGAATTGACAGGAAAGCACAATCAGATGTAGTGTCTTTTACTGCATCAGCTTCATAAGTTGTGAAGCCAGGAGGATGCTAGTTTTCACCTCAGTGGATTCCGGGAGTAGCTGCGCCCTCTACTAGACACTTTGGGAACCTAGCCAGACTTTTTTTTTTGGAGTATCAGAATGTGCCGGTAGACTTATGGTAAGGGTGTTTTAGTGAAACGTGGACGATTTTAACTGGCTGAGATGAAATGCTCAGCTGGCCGTCCTCAGCGTTGGGGCTAATTTGGCCAGGTTGGCCTATGAGAAAAGCTAGCAGCTAGCAATTTTATACCAATGGTTTAAACCATGGTCTAAGCAAAAGACAACATTGGGATGCTTTCAATTTCATTTTCTCTGGATTAATCAGGCTATCTGCAGTAAAGGGTTCCTACCTCCTTCATCTCCACGTGGACCTGTTTGAGACCACCCAGGACCCCCTCCAGGTCTGACACCACCTGTCTGATCTGCTCCCGAACCGAGCCCTCCTTCTGCTGGACTGAACCCTGGTTTTCCCGGACAAAACACTGGTTCTCCCGGACCGAACCCTGGCCCTCCTTCTCCTTCTTCCTCTGTCTTTGGGGGTCTGAGTCTGGGTCTCCTCCCTGGTTCTGGTTGACCCGCTGGCTTGCTGGCTGTTTGGCCCTCTGGTTGGATCTCTCTTCCCTGCCTATAGTGGCTCCATGCACTGGGCCAGTAGCTCCATGACTAGGGGTTCCATGGCCAGGGCCAGGCCCACAAGGACTCCTCTGCCTGGGCTGAATGACCAACTGTCTCTGGTGGACTTCAGTGGAAAAGAAAGTCTTCTGAACAGAGCCAGAGCCAGCAGGGACATTACAGCTGTCCTCTCCTGCCCCACCTACAGCTCCCCCAGCCTTTAATCTAGTAGTCCTCTCCTGGTAGTTAGTTCTATCTCCCACGCCCTGAGAGTACACATGCCTGGGACTGGGACCACCACCATTTGGCATGTGGGGGTGTAAATCTCCATGTTCAAGCGGTACACACCTGTCCAAATGATAGTGTTCATCTCCAGCGCATCCCCAGACATGCACCTCTGGACTGTAGCTGTAGCTAGTCTGTCTGTGTTTCAACTGATCCCAGACCTGTTGTTCTGGACTGTAGCTAGTCTGTCGGTGTATCGGCTTGTCTTCTAGACTGTAAATATAGCTAGCCTGGCTGTGTATTTCTTGTGGTCTGAAGCTATTCTGTCTTTCTAGCCTGTGTTTCGACTGACCACAGACCTGCTCTTCCGAACTGAGACTAGCCTGTCTGTGTTGCTCTTGTGGACTATAGCTAGCCTGGCTTTCTAACCTGTATTTTGACTGATCCCAGATCTGTTTCTCAGGACCGTAGCTAGCCTGTCTGTGTTTCGGCTGTTCCTCCAGACTGTAGCTGTAGCTAGCTTGTCTGTGTTTGGGCCGCTGAGGCCTGAACTGTGTGTGTGCCAGGTCCGGGGGGAGTGATGAGGCTGACACGTTTCTGATGCTGTTGAAGGGGTGTGTCCCGGTCCCTGTCCCAGCGGCGCCACCTCCACCACGTCCCACATAGCCACACTGTTCTTTCACAGGGGAGTAGATTCTCAGACCCAGGCCAGGCTCTGCTGGGCAGCTCCACTGGGCAGGGTTGTAGCTCCAGGGGTGGCTGGGACTAAACTGGCCTGGCTGAGGCTGACCGTACTGACCCGGCCCGGTGAACACTGGCCTCCTCTGTGGGGCACTGTGACCACCTCCACCCCATCCAGCTCCAGCTTTAACACCTCCTCCTTCACCTTCTCCTTCTCCACCTTCTCCACCATCTCCTCTTCCTTCACCTCCTCTCTCACACTTATCTAGTCCAGGTTCTATATCCTCTGGCTCCACAGGGAAAGGAGGAAGGCTGAAGTCTCCTCTGATGTCCAACTCTGGGTGGTCTGGGTGTGTGGGTGGTGGTCTGTACCCCCCTGGTCCTTCCTGGTACAGCGTGGGTTCGTACTGGACACAGTGAAGGCAGTAGCAGTAGTCATCTGTGTTTTGATGAATGAATCCATAGTGTCCCGTCCGTGTGCTGTCTGAGTACATGTCAGAATGAAAACAGTCTGTCTAGAGTAGAGGCTGCTGTGGAAAATGCCTTAAACAACAAATGGTTTACTTCTCCTTCCCTCCTCCTCCCCGCTGCTCTCCAACTCCGACCTAGCCATTCACTCAAGCTGTTTTCCTCATCTAGCTACGACTGACTCCACCGCAAAAAAAAACTTTTCTTCAGCTCTGCTGTTTTTTTTCTTACAGAAGACTTCCCTCCCCCCTTTCTTCCTGCCTCATTTCCCTTTCTCTCCTTTACTTGTTTTTTCTCTTGCTCTTTTCTTTCTTTCCCCTGACCCCCTCTCTCACTTTTCCAACTTTTCTCTCACTCCTTTACCCTGCAACCCTCTCTCCTGCTCGGGGCCCCTCTTCTCCACCTCCCTCCCCCTCTCCCGTCTCTCTCTCTCTCTCTCTCTCTCTCTCTCTTTACCTCTCCTGTTTCATTCCTCAGTCTTATTTGCTGCTGCAGGCTTCCCGTCTCTCTCCCTCACTTGGCTTTGCATTTCCCGTTTCCTCCCTTACCCTCCCTTCCGCTCCTCCTATTTCTCCACCTCTCACACTCTGAGTCTCGTTGTTGTTTCTAACTCTCTCTTCTCTCTCATTCTCTCACACACAGTCGCTTGTAAATGTCGCCTCTCTCTCTCCTCCACCTGAGATCTAGTTCTGTGTGTTCTATCGTCTAGTCAGTCCGTCAGACAGCGGTGTAGCTGTGTGAGTCTCCTGCTCTAGCATAGCTTTCTGAGCTTATTAGACCTCCTTGCTAGGTGGTAACAACCTAGCACTCTTCAATTAAATGCAGCCTGGATAGAGCCAGTCAGGGAATCCTCAGCCAGAGTGAGAGAGGAGGAGGAGAAGGATGAGAGAGGAGGGGTTTCAGCAGCCACAGACTGCATGGCTGAACAGACCCGACGGACGCCTCTGACTAGAGAGACAGAAGCACTGCCCTGTAGAGGGAGGGTTTTAACACAACTCTCAGACTTTCTCTCTCTCTCTCTCTCTCTCTCTCTCTCTCTCTCTCTCTCTCTCTCTCTCTCTCTCTCTCTCTCTCTCTCTCTCTCTCTCTCTCTCTCTCTCTCTCTCTCTCTCTCTCTCTCTCTCTCTCTCTCTCGTCTCTCTCTCTCTCTCTCTCTCCTCTCTCTCTCTCTCTCTCTCTCTCTCTCTCTCTCTCTCTCTCTCTCTCTCTCTCTGGTCTGAGTTTACAGTAAAGCAATAAGGTTGTGCATCGTCACAATTCAACTAATATGAAACTATTTTTGAAACCTATGGTGTAGTCAGTATAGTATATTTACCTTGACTTAAGGCTGTTACGGTGACCATATTACCACCATACCGGCGGTCACGAGTCATGACCACAGTCAAATTCCATGTGACCGTTTAGTCACGGTAACTAGGCTTCTCCAAGCTCTGATGCTGCTGATGGTAGCCTACCAAACTTGCTAACTGCCTGGTACTCAGCACTCTATTGTCCCTATAATCACTCTGACATCAATGCAAAGTTTTTCGCAAATCAAATCAAACACTTCATGAGAGCCCATGAGCTCACGTTGCCCAACAATTGCATGAGAAAACAGAGTTTTGATGGCCTCTATTAAAAAGAGGAGGATCCCATCAGCTTTCTATAGGCTAGGCCTACTATATTTATTTAGCAAGTTCCTAATATTAAGCACATTGCTTTGCTTTACAACAGGAATATAGCCTACCTGGCTGGCATGAAAATGAAGCATTGGAAAAGGGTCCCCCATTTGCTATTTAAGTGCATAGATTACGTGTTTTTTTTAATGCCCCTGTTATGAGACAGGTGACTGATAATGGTCCATTCTATATTAAAACTAATTTCACACATATCTTATTTAGTACAGTGAGGGAAAAAAGTATTTGATCCCCTGTTGATTTTGTACATTTGCCCACTGACAAAGACATGATCAGTCTATAATTTTAATGGTAGGTTTATTTGAACAGTGAGAGACAGTATAACAACAACAAAATCCAGAAAAACGCATGTCAAAAATGTTATAAATTGATTTGCATTTTAATGAGGGAAATAAGTATTTGACCACTCTGCAAAACATGACTTAGTACTTGGTGGCAAAACCCTTGTTGGCAATCACAGAGGTCAGACGTTTCTTGTAGTTGGCCAGCAGGTTTGCACACATCTCAGGAGGGATTTTGTTCCACTCCTCTTTGCAGATCTTCTCCAAGTCATTAAGGTTTCGAGGCTGACGTTTGGCAACTTGAACCTTCAGCTCCCTCCACAGATTTTCTATGGGATTAAGGTCTGGAGACTGGCTAGGCCACTCCAGGACCTTAATGTGCTTCTTCTTGAGCCACTCCTTTGTCGCCTTGGCCGTGTGTTTTGGGTCATTGTCATGCTGGAATACCCATCCATGACCCATTTTCAATGCCCTGGCTGAGGGAAGGAGGTTCTCACCCAAGATTTGACGGTACATGGCCCCGTCCATCGTCCCTTTGATGCGGTGAAGTTGTCCTGTGCCCTTAGCAGACAAACACCCCCAAAGCATAATGTTTCCACCCCCATGTTTGACGGTGGGGATGGTGTTCTTGGGGTCATAGGCAGCATTCCTCCTCCTCCAAACACAGCGAGTTGAGTTGATGCCAAAGAGCTCGATTTTGGTCTCATCTGACCACAACACTTTCACCCAGTTCTCCTCTGAATCATTCAGATGTTCATTGGCAAACTTCAGACGGGCCTGTATATGTGCTTTCTTGAGCAGGGGGACCTTGCGGGCACTGCAGGATTTCAGTCCTTCACGGCGTAGTGTGTTACCAATTGTTTTCTTGGTGACTATGGTCCCAGCTGCCTTGAGATCATTGACAAGATCCTCCCGTGTAGTTCTGGGCTGATTCCTCACCGTTCTCATGATCATTGCAACTCCACGAGGTGAGATCTTGCATGGAGCCCCAAGCCGAGGGAGATCGACAGTTATTTTGTGTTTCTTCCATTTGCGAATAATCGCACCAACTGTTGTCACCTTCTCACCAAGCTGCTTGGCGATGGTCTTGTAGCCCATTCCAGTCTTGTGTAGGTCTACAATCTTGTCCCTGACATCCTTGGAGAGCTCTTTGGTCTTGGCCATGGTGGAGAGTTTGGAATCTGATTGATTGATTGCTTCTGTGGACAGGTGTCTTTTATACAGGTAACAAACTGAGATCTCAGCTCGTTACCTGTATAAAAGACACCTGGGAGCCAGAAATCTTTCTGATTGAGACGGGGTCAAATACTTATTTCCCTACTTAAAATGCAAATCAATTTATAACATTTTTGACATGCATATTTCTGGATTTTTGGTTTTGTTATTCTGTCTGTCACTGTTCAAATAAACCTACCATTAAAATTATAGATTGATTATTTATTTGTCAGTGGGCAAACGTACAAAATCAGTAGAGGATCAAATACCTTTTTCCCTCACTGTATATGTAAAGACAACATTAAATTAAGAATAGTCTGATGGGTGACAATATTGGCCTATCAATTGCTCAGCGTGTGCAGTAAGGACCAGAGTGTGCAGTAAGGCAAGAAACAGTGCATGCTTTTTTTCCCCACAACTTTTTCAAATCATAGTCGTACATCTCATGTAGCCTAGCCCATAGGCCTATATGTTTTGATAAGGTTTGTATCACAACTAAAGTGGCCAAATAACTTCTTAAAATTAAGCACATTAATCCGCTTTACAACCGGTGTAGAGCCTAACTGGCATACATAGGCGGCGAGTGAGTTTCAAGTTTGGGGAATATAATTTTCACCATATTTTATAATGTATAATGCGTTTATAATGTGAAGAAATAGCCTAATAGTTTATCAACGTTTTCATCTAAACGTTCTGATCTGTTGCATCAGCCTTATTGCCTTTAAATGTTTTTTTGATGCGGGTGGTTGTATTAATTTGGGATCTATCGCATCCCACAACTGTCCCAGAGTATGTTTGGAATATTTATTTATTGCACAGAAGGACAAGTTGATCAATAGAATAGGTCAACTTTTGTACTATGGGGGATAGTAGATTGACAGAGTCTAGTGCTTTTGCTGTTTGTTAGGCCTACTCATCTTGGTGGCTGACAAAGTAGGCTAAATGTGGACAGTTCTTCTAACATCTTCAATATGCGCCTTGGAAATCGATAAGAGGGACATGCGCAGTTGCGTCCCCAATGTGTCTGTCTTCACTTGTAGCCTACTTCCTAGCTGAGATGCCTGTGAGAAGGAACCGATCACGTGACGGCATTGGCTAATAAGAATTGAGATATATGAGAGAGCCATGTGAGGGAGAGGTGCTTCGGAGCACAGCAGCCGGGAGAAGGGAATTATAATTATTATATTCAACCCAAGGGCACAACGGCCACTTTGGCCGCAAAAGGCATGGATTTTTTAGGGGGCATAACGGCCACACAAGGGGATGCCACCGGGATTTCAAGGCCTGGTGAGAATATTATCAAGTGCTGTCAAATTGTGAATGAGATACTGATGAAGTGTGTGCAGCCTGCACAAGAAACAAATCAGAGCTCATGTCTTTCATGCAACTTTTTTCAAATCATCATTAGTGTCGCATCATGCAGCCTTAGAATGTATTACAAATCAAAACATATAGCCCAACGTTTGTATCACAACTAAAGTTTCATAAATAACTCTACATTAAGCATATAGGAGGACCTGTTTGTTTGTTAATTGTTCAACACAGAATAGCCGCATGTGCGCACTTCCTTGGAAATCGTTTGGAGAAAATATCCTTTCTATTTTATTCAGTTATGTTCAATTGTATTCTTCATCCTATAAAATAATAAAAAATAATGCCACAGAATTCTAAGCAAATCTTGTCTGCTAAATGAACTAGTGTAGCCCACAGCGGTATGGCATAGCCAGATCAGGTCATAACATAAGGACAACTCAGAGTATGCTATTCTGTTCTTCTGAAATAGATTATATTTTCTTCATATCATTTACATTTTAGTCATTTAGCAGACGCTCTTATCCAGAGCGACTTACATGA